ATGGTGCACAGGCGAGTAAACAGCTGCCGGAGAGGTTAAATGACTTGCCTAAGGTCACCCAGAGTGGCAGAGCTGAGATTTGACCCTTCACACCTCTGCTCTCTTCTGCCACCTTCAAGGCCCAGCCAGCTGCTGCCTGTTCCTCCGGGGCACCTGGCCCTGGCAGGGGTGCTGGCGCCGTGGGGAGGGGGACCGCGTGGGCAGGGGCGTGTGGCTGGCTGGTGGCAGGTGCTCAGGGCCCCGCCCCTTTCTGCTGGGCTGAGTCTGCTGGCTCCGTGCAGGGGAGCTGTGGGCCTGCGGTTTCTATCCCTCGAGGGAGGGTGCCCCTGGGCCGTGGAGGTGGCGGGCACAGGGTGGGGGTGGATGTGGGTAGCTTGTTTTCCCTTTCGTGGGTGCCGGTTTCGACTCTGTGACGGTGTCTTCTCCCCCCTGGAGGCAGGGCCCGGGGCCCAGGCGTCTGTCTCCTGGAGGGTCGTGGCTCCAGACGGAGCTTCCGAGGCAGAGCTGGGCGCCTTGGCTCTGCCCCCATCCTCCGTGCCCTTGCCCATCCCCGTTCCCTCCCCAGCCTGGCCCTCGGCCTGTTTCTGTGATCTTTACCCCTCCCGCTGCTCCGGGCCCTCCCCGCGGCTGAGTGACTGCGCTGGAAGGTGGAGCTCTGATCAGGGCGGGGAGACCTGCCTCCTCTCCTGGGGTGTATCTGTCTGGGGGGGAGTTTGAAGTTCGGTCCAATTTCAGGTTCCTCGGGGGCAGAGGGGTTGAGGCATCCAGGCGACTGTAGTTCTCTCTCCTGTGGGGGAGGCGGGGGGAAGGGACAGCGGTGGGTTCCAGAGGACTGAGGGTTCCAACCCCAACCCCCCAAAAAAACAAACTGGGTCAGGACGCCCGGAGTCTGAAGCGACTGGTTTTCTGGGCCTCACCTCGGGGCGGTGGCCCGGCGTGGATGTGGGTCCCCCAGAGTGTCCCTGACGGGGCACCTCTGTGTGTTCAGGGAGCACGGTGTGGGGGGGTCTGGACCCCAGGGGGCAGGTACAGAGGCCCCCCGGCTGTGTGTCTGCGGGGAGCGGAGGCCGGGGCTGGCACGCAAGCCCGGAACCGTGTTCTCTGTGTGGTGGGGCCCAGGTGTGGAGAGATGGTATCTGCAGGTTCCCTCATCTCCTGTGCGTGCCCCCCCCCACAGGCCTGGTGTGCGTGCTCACACACACACACAGGCCGGGTGTGCGTGCCCCCCTCCCCACACAGGCTGGGTATGCGTGCACACACACACACACACACACACAGGCCAGGTGTGTGGGCCTCACACACAGGTCGGTGAGCGGGTCTGCTCTGGCCCACCCGCACGCTTCTCATAGCCCTGCATGCATGCATTTCTGTAAGTGTGTGTGTGTGTGTGTGTGTGTGTGTGTGTCTCTGTGTGTATGTATGTGTGTGAGGCCCACACACCTAGACTGTGTGTGTGTGTGTGGCCCGCACACCGGCCTGTGTGTGTGTGTTTGTGTGTGTGTGTGTGTGGTGTGTGTGTCAGGCCTGCACACTGACGTGTGTGTGTGTGTGTGTGTGTGTGTGTGTGTGTCTCTGTGTGTATGTATGTGTGTGAGGCCCACACACCTAGACTGTGTGTGTGTGTGTGGCCCGCACACCGGCCTGTGTGTGTGTGTTTGTGTGTGTGTGTGTGTGGTGTGTGTGTCAGGCCCGCACACTGACGTGTGTGTGTGTGTGTGTGTGTGTGTGTGTGTGTGTGTGTGTGGTGTGTGTGTCTTAGTTTGACTGTCAGCGCTGATGAGGCTCCGCCAGCCCCTCCTTCCCTCGCCTGAGTTCCGTTGTGTGGGGCCCCACAGGGGTGTGGGGGCCTGGGTGGCAGTTTGCCCAATGGGTGGGGCCCTGGTTCCTCTGACGTCAGCCCTCTCACCCGGGAGGGGATCTGCAGGGGCCTGCGGGGAGGGGCACTCCTCGGGCGTAAGGACAGAGTCCGATGGTCGTCACCGTTAATAACAGTGAAAATCACGCTCATTCTCAAGGCCCAGCCCTCGCCGGGCTGACTCAGTGGCTAGAGCATCCATCTGCAGACCGAAGGATCCCGGGTTCAGTTCTGGTCAAGGGCCTTTTCCTCTGTCGTAAGCTCCCCTCCCTGGCGTAGACCTCGGGGGCCCTGGTCGGGGGCTCTCTGTCTTTCCCTCTCTCTTCTACTCTCTTTAAAAATCAAGGGGAAATTATCCTGGGATGAGGATTAACAAAAACAAAAACAAACAAACAAACAAACAAAAAACACAAGGTCCAGATTTCACTCCTAGGAGCGCTGCCCCCGCCTAGCACGTACCTGTCCCCACCTCGCCCGCCCTGGCACCGGCTGCCGGCCCAGCTGGGCCCAGGAGCCCTGGCCTCGTCCACGGCGGCCTTGGCAGGAACTCCCCTTCGCAGGCCTGGTCCTCGGCCAGGCCGTGTGCGCGTCCCCGGACTCCGGGACTGAGCCCAGGGAGCCGGGAGCGTGGAACCTGGGGTGGCTGGAGCGTGGGGGGGTGGAGGGTGGGGTTGGAGTGGGAAGCAGTACTTGGGGTCTCTGTGGCCCCGTTACTTTTTCCTCCCTCCCTTCTCTCTGTCTTCTTAGCAGCTTTATTGAGATGGAATTCGTGTGCCATAAAGTTCACTCGCTAAAGTATGCAGTTGAGTGGCTTTAGTGTGTTCAGAGTTGTGCAAACCACCACAGACCATTTTAGAAAATGTCCGTCACGGCAGACTGAGGTCCCATCCTCTCGGCAGCCACTTCCCATTTCCCTCAAACCCACACCCAGCCCCTGGCGAGCCACAATCTCCTCCGTGTCTTTGTAAGTGGCCTGTTCTGGACATGGTATGTAAATGGCATCAAACACTGGCCTTTTAGGCCCAGCTGATGTGTCTCCGGGGTATCCGTGTCGCAGTGATGTCAACGCCGTAGTCCTTTGTCCTGGCAGAGTAACACTCCACGGTACGGAGTATCACCCATCCCTCAGTGGATGGGCATTTGGGGTACCTTTTGGCTGTTAGGAACAGTACCGTATGCACATCCGTGTGTACGTTTTTTTGTTTTTAAAAAAAATATATTTTATTGATTTTGTACAGAGAGGAAGGGAGAGAGAGAGAGAGAGTTAGAAACATCGATGAGAGAGAAACATCGATCAGCTGCCTCTTGCACACCCCCTCCTGGGGATATGCCCGCAACCAAGGTACATGCCCTTGACCGGAATCGAACCCGGGACCTTTCAGTCCCCAAGCCGACGCTCTATCCATTGAGCCAAACCGGTTTCGGCCCATGTGTACGTTTTGTGTGGACCGATGTTTTCCTCTCTCGTGGGTAGACACGGAGGAGGGAAATGGTTGGCTCATTGTAGGATAATGCTGTTTGACCTTTTGAGGAACTGCCGCCCTGCTGTCCAGAGCAGCCGTGCTGAGTTCCATTCCCTCCAGCAATGGATGAGGGCTCCAGTTTCTGACATCCTTGCCGACACTGGTTATTATATCAGTCTTTTTTACTGTAGCCGTCCGAGTAGATGTGAAAGTGGCATCTCATTGTGTGGGGTTGTTTTTTTGTTTTTGCGTTTCTGATTGGCTGTTCTGTGTGTGTGTGTGTGTGTGTGTGTGTGTGTGTGTGCGCGCGCACACACCTTTTATCTTTCATGTGTGGACTACATATGTATGTATATATGCATGCACGTACATGTTGTCGTGTGTATATATGCATGCACGTACATGTTGTCGGTATGTATGTCCCAAGCGGATTGGAAGCCTCTGCTTGTAGATCTGCTTCCTTTGTCTCCCTTTGCTGTCTTACTCGGAGTCTCTGGGTTCACCGCTGCCTCTCCCCACCCCGTGGCGTTATCTGTGCGTGTCCTCTGGTCCCAGCTGTTCAAACAGGGTGTGGATCTGTGTACACACTGGTGGGGGACAGACATCTGGCCTTTCATCTGGGGCCCACCCCTCACCCCCTCTGGAGATGCTGCTCCTGCAGACAGTATGTGAGTGAACGAGCTTAGCCTCCATCACCCCTTCAGCGCGGGCCCCGCCCTCCGGACACACAGCCCCCCCAGCCCGCCCTGCTGTCAGGCCGGGCACTGGGTGTGATGCCCAGGAGCCCTCAGTTCGCATTTCCCCATTTTCACGTGTGTAAACAGGCCTCCTCCCCTGGCCTGTGGGACAAGCCCATCTGGGGTGCTGGGGCTTGGATTGGGGGGGGAAGTGGTATAAGAGGGGCCCCTGGCTTAGGAGTCATCTTTCTGAGAAGTGCCAGTGCTTTGGGGAAGCGGCTTTCCCTCCCCTCCCACTCCCCTCCAGCCCCGCTCTGCGCTGTGACCTCAGGTAACCCACGCGGGAAGGCGCTCCGGCTGCCTCTGCGGCCGAGCCTCTGGGGTGGCACCGCGGGCCCTTCGCCCTCAGGATTGTGGGTGAGAGGCCCTCTGCGGCTCCGAGCGCTGCCCCGTCTCCCCAGCCTGGCTGTGCCATCCTGCCACCCCCAGCGGCGCCCGGGCCCCGCTCCCGGCGGTCTCTGCCAGCCGGGCACGGTGCCAGCTGTCTGCTCCGCCGGGTGCCCCAGGAGAACCTCCGGCCGCCCAGGTTGGGGAGCTCCTCGGGGAATGCCCGTGCGCCCGCTCCTCGGTGCCCACTCACCTGCCTCTCCTCTCTCTGCAGCGCCCCGGGACATGGCCCCCCCAGCTGCCTAGCCAGGCCCACCTGAGAGAGGCGTCCTGAAGGCCAGCTCTGGACCCTCCCGGGGGAGTGCCAGCTCTGCAGAACTGCTCAACCCGAGGACCAGCGTGTGGGACGGCCCCCAGCCCCTGGCCCCCGGGGGCTCCGGGTGGCGGAGATTAGCCTGCGAGCGAGCGGTGGACTGCGGCCCCAGGACGGAAAGGGGGGGTGGGCCGGCCACCCGAGCCCCCTTCGGGCCCAGGCCCCATGCCCCGAGGAGGGGCGGCCTGAACCCGCCGGAGCGCCCGCCGGACGGCCCGCCCGCCTCCTGACTGCGGCCGCTGGGCATGGCCAGCAACAGCAGCTCCTGTCCGACACCCGGGGGAGGGCACCTCAATGGGTACCCGGTGCCCCCCTACGCCTTCTTCTTCCCCCCCATGCTGGGCGGGCTCTCGCCGCCGGGCGCTCTGACCACTCTCCAGCACCAGCTTCCAGTCAGCGGCTACAGCACACCCTCCCCGGCCAGTAAGTGGGGTGAAGGGCGGCTCGGCGGGGGGGGGGGGGGGGGGGGAGGGGGCCTGGAGGGGGCCGGCCTGGGGGTCGGCCTCGGGGTGCGTCGGTCCTGCGGCAGCCGCGAGGTCTGTCCTCCGGGGGGGCTCCGGGAGGAACCGCGCGTGGGCCTGCCACGCGCTGTTTGACGTGGGGGCCGCAGAGGGGGAGAGGAAACAGGGTTGTACCGAGGTGCCCCCTGCCCCGCTTCTGTGCGGAGCCTTTGAGGGCCTTATAAATAGCTCCAAGGCCTGGACACAGCCTGGAGGCGAGTAAACAAACCTCTCGACATTTGGTGGAAATGGCAGCTCTGCCGAGAGCGCACCCACCTCTTCGGATCGGAGTGGAGGGGGGCGGGCTGCTGGAGCCCCTCCCCTGCCAGCTCCGCGGGGGGGGGGGGGGGAGGAACCGGGAGCAGCCCGGGGGCCAGGGCCCGTGTCCCAGGAGGGGCGCTGGGCTCGGACTGCGGCTGTGGACACATGCATGGTCTTGGCAGGGCCTGTGTTTGCTCTCCGCCCCTCCCTCTGCCCCGGGGGCTGCCTGTCCGCCGGGCGGGGGTCTCAGTGCCCTTCCCCGGCCGGCCGAGCCAGGTAGTGGGAGGTGGCGGCGGCTCCGGCCAGCTGGCAGAGTCCAGGCCTCGGGCCTGCCAGGCCGCTTACAGTAACTCTGGCCCCCAGGGCCCGGCTGGGCGCTTGGCCAGGGCTGGGGGGGAGGAGGGAGCCAAGCCGGGGCCTGGCCCGGGGCTGGAGGAGGGGAGGAAGCAGCCGGATAGACCGTGGACCGGCGGCGGCACAGGCCGGCAGGCTGGCTGGCCTGTGCTGGCCGGGGAGACGTGTCCCCTCTCCTGGTGGGCAGGGACCGAATGCCCTGCCCCTCCTGCAGCCCCTGGCACGTGCCCGGCCTCCCTGCCCGGGGAGCCTGGCCTGGCAGGGTCAGTGCCCCCTTCGCAGTGCAGGGGGCAGCGCCCTCTCCCCAGAGCCCGGGAGTCTCTGTCCTGGGGGCAGGTGCTGGCGGGGCGCCTCGCTGCCCACACTGGCCTGATGCCCACCGCCACCACCGCTTCCTGATGGCCGCCCCTGGCTCCGCCGTGGCCCCCTTCCCCCGGGCCCCGCCAGCTGCTGGGGTAGGAGCCCTATGTCTGTGCCCCTTTAAATCCTGGGGCTGACGGGGGGCTCCGTCAGATACTGCCTCAGTTCCCACCACCGCCCCTTCTCACACCTCCGCTGTCTGCTTCCTTCCTCTCTGTCTTCCTCACTCCGTAGGATGGGGCGGGTGGCTCAGTGACCGGGAGCTGGGAACTGAGTCTGGCCCGGCCTGCCCGTGGGCCCGTGGGTTCAGGGGTGCCAGGAGGGCTGGGTGTGGCTGTGGTTCTCACAGGGGGCAGTTGCTGTGTCTGCAGGGTCTGGGCTCATGTTTCCACCTTGGATAAGGAGCATCTACTTCCTGCGGTGGGGGGGGTAGGAAGTTGGGGCTGTAACCTGCTGTCTGTGGCCCGGCCTTCCCCAGGCGATGGAGCAGAGTCCCCCCACACCGCTCCGGGGCTGCTCCCTGCGGGTGGGAGGGGCCTGCCGCAGCGGCACACTCTGCCCCCCTCCGAGGGTTGCAAGCTTCTTCCTCTTTCTCAGAGGTGGGTGGGGAGGGCTTCCGGGTCCCCACTTCCCACCCTGGTAACCTTTCCCCCCGGGGTGGGGTGCCCACGTTTCAGGCAAGTGAGAGCTTCTTCTGGCTCTCTCCGCCCCGTGAGGCAATGCCCCTTCCGGCCCCTCCCTGCTCCTCTCCCCTCCTCCTCGTCAACAACAAGATCTTCCTACCCAGCTTCTGAGCTTCTCCCTAACCTCCCCCTTTCTGGGGCCATCTCCCTCCTTATGCAAAGCTCCGGGTATGGAAGCATGACGGATCAAGATTCCCATGCATGGGGCAGCCTTGCCTTCCCTGCTGCCCCTGCTGCCCCATTCCTACAGGGAGCATCGGTGGACTCGGCCCTCTGCCCCCCCCCCCCTTTTAAAAAAATATGTATTTTTATTGATTTTTTACAGAGAGGAAGAGAGAGGGATAGTTAGAAACATCGATGAGAGAGTCACCGATCACCTGACTCTTGCACACCACCTACTGGGGATGTGCCCGCAACCAAGGTACATGCCCTTGACCGGAATCGAACTTGGGACCTTCCATTCCGAAGGCCGATGCTCTATCCACTGAGCCAAACCGGTTTGGCAGGACTTAAATATTCTTGGGGTGTTTGCCCTGCTAGCCTCTCAGGAAGGTCCCTGAGATGGTTCAGGAGTCTCTACCCCAAACCAGCCCCCGGGTCTCCGTCTCCTCCGGGGCTGGTGTTTACCGTGGAGGGCTGGACCCTGTGTGCATTGTGGTGCGGGTCAGGGCCTGTGTGTTTAAGGGGTGGGTGGGGCCGGCCAAGGCCGGTGTGTGTTGGGGAGGGAGTTAATGGTTTATGTGTATTGGGTGAGAGGGTCACGGAGCCCGGTGTGTTTTGGGGAAATCCAGTCGGGGGAGCTGGGAAGGGGTGTCACAGCGTGTGTGCCGGAGGGAGGGGCCTTGGCTTAGGGCTTAGCGCGTCTGGGGGGAGGGGGGGACAGGGCCTGTGGAGGGTGCTGTGTGGGGGGAGGGGAAGGCGTCCCATTCCTATCATCCAGGGGGCAGGGGAAGCTAACCTGCCTCTTTTGATGCTCCCCCTCGCCCCCCCCAAAATTCCCCGGTGGGGTAGGGCAGTGTGAGCTCGGGCTTTGTCACTTGCTGATCAGATAACCTCTCTGAGCATGCTGCCCTGTCTGTCCGGCGGGGATAGGACCGGAGCCCCCTCAGAGGGCTGAGACCAGGCCAGGTCATCCGCGCGGCGGTGGCCACTGCCGTCTCTTAGCCGTCGCACAGCTATTGGGACGGTGAGAAGGGCCGGGACCCTGGGACCCTGGGGTCCTCCTCGGTGGGTTGCTAACATCAGTGGAGCACCCGGTGTGTGTGGGACCTTTTCTCTGGTTCATCCTAATCCTCACAACGGGGAGCTGGAGGGTGAGGCTGGTTCCGGGGCGGGGAAGTCGGGCTCATTTCCAACAGCCGGATTGGCAGCTCCGGGAGGGTATTTGAGGAGCACTCCTGGGTGTGGGAGCGGGCAGTGCCTCTGCCGAAATCCCCCCATGGCCCAGGCCCTGCCTCCGGAACTCCCGCTTTCCCTCAGCAGGGGGCGAAGGCAGCACCCCCCCCCCCCCCCAAGCCTCGCCCTCTCTTCTCTGTGTTGGATGCTGAAGGCTGGAGGGAAAGAGTGATAAGAGGCCCGGGCCAGATCTCCATCCTGTCCTGGAAGCTGCGGATACAATCTGTTCACACCCATCCCCACCCCCCGAATCTGCCCTCTGCCGCCGCCCGCGGGAGTCTGCAGAGCTCGGTTCAGCAGGCAACCTTCCCCCAGCTCCAGACAGACACTGTAGGAACAGAGTGTAAAAACCACAGTTCATAGTCTTAATTTTGTTTCAATGTGTGGGGCGGGGGCAGGGAAGCTGGAAGCAGGCAGCGGAGGAGCCGGAAACGGGAGCCCCGAAAGGTTGGCACGGTCTTTCCCTTCCTGGCCCTGTGCTCGCTGTGTGTGCGCCTCAGACTGGGCATGGCCCTAGGGCCCGAGACCCGGGGAGACAGAGGAAGGGGCGTGCCCTTCTCCTCTGCCACCCTGTCCCCACTGCAGGCTGCATCCTCTTCCCACCTCCCGCCCACTCTTTCCCTGGACAATATGGGGGGGGGGGGCAGCCCAGGAGAGGGGGTACAGCTAAGCCATGCCTTTGCTGGGATCCAAAATGTAGAGTCAGCCAAGACCTTTGGATGGAATTTTTAAAAAATATATTTTATTGAGTTTTTACAGAGAGAAAGAGAGAGAGGAAGCTAGAAACATCAATCAGCTGCCTCTTGCACACCCCTCTTGCACACCCCCTACTGGGGATGTGCCCGCAACCAAGGTACATGCCCTTGACCAGAATCGAACCTGGGACCTTTTAATCTGCAGGCCGACGCTCTATCCACTGAGCCACACCGGTTTCGGCTGGATGGGATTTTGGATGAAAAGGGGCCCTCACCTTTTACCTGGTGGCATTCCTCATGCACAGGCCCCTCGGGCAGGATCCCTGCAGGGGCTGGGGGAGGGACTCAGGGAAGGAAGCCTGCCCTCTTAGACTGGCCCAGACCTGGGGCACCGTAAGGGCCCTGTGCCCATGGGGACGTGCCAGCGAAGACCTGACCATCTTCAGGGGTAGCCATGTAGAAAGAGGAAGAGGTTTCCCTTCTGCAAATGGCTTTGGGGTGGTGCCTACCCCGCCTTCCTCCTCCTCTTCCTCCTTCGTGGAGTGAGCAGGTGGACGGCCGGTGGAGCTGTGGCCCTCAGGTCTCACCAGATCAGAAGTAGAGTGGCCTCCCTCCCCCCCCCCCCCATTTTGACCGCTGGGAACCTCAGACCGAGGCGCTGTGGGCAGCAGTCTCACAGGGAGCGCTTCCTGTTTGGCTTGGGCAGGTCACCCGAACGCTCTGGTCTGCTTCCTCCTCTTCAGAGCAGTGCTCCTCGCCCCTTCTGGCCTGCAGCTCGCCGGAGGCCGCGGGGACCTGCTTGCTGTGCAGGTGTGGGGAGCTCGGAGGACCTGGACCTGATGGGCCATGGTGATGAGGGTCGGGCAGAGCCAGGCATTGTCTTGGGGGATGGCCCCCCGGTCCTGGGACCTGGTTCAGGGCCTCAGGACTTCCTGTTTGTGATCCCCTCCAGATGGAGCTGGGGACAGGAGGGAGCCCTGCCTGGCACAGTGGGGGCCAGTGCAGTGGAGGGCCCACTGGACACACAGCCCTGGAGGAGCTGTGGGGGTGCTGCGGAGGGGGGCCCAGGCCTGCAGCTGCCCGCAGCCACCGGCGGGCTGGCCTTCCTTTCCCCCTCGTCTCTCCCTGCCCCGGGACACCGGGTTCTGCTCTGACCCATGGCCTTGCTGTCGCCC